TTATCTATACCGGGGAACCAAATCCTACTCCTTGCTTCAGCTTTACACTTCACAATACCTAAATGTGATTTATGAAGTTCGAACATGACTTTTTTCGCAAAGTTATAGGTATGAATACTTTATGGCCTCGCATGACTATACCGTTTTCGTAAGAAAGTTGAGTTTTACACAAAAAGTAAGGACGTATTTTTTCATCCGCTACTTTTTTTGGCCAACCCTCTATAATGTATTGAGCTACCTTATTTAACTCTAAATCTTTTTTGTTTCCTCGCGTAAATTTTGTTACGTTACAGGTAAACTCAAAAAATAATTTTCGCATTAGTGATAAAATGTTCTAGAACTTGATCGGAAACGAGAATATTTTTAATCGCATTAAATGCATTGTTGTGTTCAGCGTTCCACTGCCACTTACAATTTTTTCGTAATAAATTATGCAAGGGACGGAGAATTGAAGATGCATTGGAGACAAAATTCCTGTAATAATTAACAAGACCAAGAAATGATTGAAGTCCTTTTATATCCTTTGGGACCTGTGCATTTAAGATGGCATTTACTTTCTGAGGCGATTTTCTTAACCCGTTCTTATCAATCACGTAACCTAAATATTCTACCTAATCTTTAAAAAAGTCACATTTCGTTTTTTGGAGAGTTAATCCTGCATCTTGAAGCCGTTGGAGAACAATATGTAATCTATTTAAATGTTCTGATCTAGTAGATCCTGTTACCAAAACATCGTCTAGCAAGCACAACACTCCTTCCAACCCCGAAAGTACACATTCCATTACGCGCTGAAAAATAGCAGGGGCTGAAGCTAAACCGAAAACTAATCGGGTATATCTAAATAATCCTTTATGAGTGTTAATGCATGTGAGTTTTTGTGACTCTTCATCTAAAACACATTGAGCATATGCTTGCCAAAAATCTAGTTTACTAAACTGCTGCCCCCCGTGTAATTTTATAAACAACTCCTGAGCTGTAGGCAATTGATACTGATCAACTAATAATTGCTTATTTATGGTTACAGAGTAATCTGCGCACAGACGAACTGAACTGTCACGCTTCAACACCGGCACAATGGGTGACGCATAATCGAAATGCTCGACCGGTTTCAAGATGCCCACACGCACTAATCTTTCTAACTCCTTATCTATCTTGTCTCTTAGTGCAAAAGCTACAGCACGCGGCTTGAAAAATATAGGTTTCGCATCTTTTTTATACTCGTATTAAGTTTTATCTTATATTTATTAAATGTTCTTAGCTCGTCCGAAAAAACACTATGGTATTTGGCTTGTAACTTTTTAATGAGTTTTAACTGATTATTGGAGTAGTTTACGGGCAACAATTCTAATTTATATAAAGATAAAAAATCTCTGCCTAAAAGAGGTCGGCCGTAAAATATAAGTTATATCTGTATATGTAAATGGTAGTCGCGCTATACCTATACAGTGGATATTATTGCCAGTATACGTTAGTAGTCGCTTATTGGCTTGTGGCAATGGCACATCCTTAAAGTACCTACTTTAAATACGTTTGTTCGGAAATCGCAGTGACAGCTGACCCACTATCAATTTAGAATTTCATCGGTATCTCTCTAACATAAACTATCACAGTCATTGGCTCTCCTTTAAATATGCGAATGTTATAAAACTCACCGTCATCGCCGTTCTCATCAACACACTCGCCGTTTATGAAATTTATTTTTTTACACATACGACGCAAATGCCCTTTTACTTTGCACTTTTTGCACTTATAGTTAGCAAATCGACACTGTGCTGCTATGTGATTTTTGAAGCCGCAGACAGTACACAACTCTTTATCACTAGCACCGTTTTTGTAGTTAATCTTGAACAGCTGCTCGGTTCGGAGCGGCCCCGGCAGCTGTGCCGGCAACGCCCCCGAAGACGCTGCTGCTAAAGCGCGCGCACTCCGCACGCTTTCCGCAAACTCCACTGCTTTAGCCAGAGTCAAATCTTTTTGATCCTGAGCGAATAATTGTTCACGCTCCGCTCCCGGTAGCATTCCCATTACAAAATGGTCCCTCAATGCTTCCTCCACGTTTAGGAATCAACAGTGTGCTGTCATCCCACGCATTCCAGCAGCCCATTGTGTGTAGCTCTCGCCCTCTTCTTGCGCTGCAGAAAAGAACTTGTACCTTTCGCCGAATCCACATCTTTTGGGTGTAAAGTGATTATCCAAAAGCTTCAATATATCTTTGAATGGTACTGACTGGAGGTCTTTCGGCAAAGCTAAATCTGTTGCTAGCTTATGAGTAGCTTCGCTGAGTGCACTCAACAAGATTGCTCGTCGCTTAACACCAGGGCAATCTGTAGTCTCACTGATATCGTTAACAAAATACCAAATAGCAAATTGATAGTGCGTGGAGTAAACCAGAGACCCTTTTAACTAGAAAGGAGTAACTCCATCTTAGTCCTCAGGGGTGAAAACGCATCATTCATCGAGGATTAAGGTAGATGTTTAATGGCCACAGAATACACTTACCATCACAATAATCATCTTATATTAATTTATATTAAAACTACTACTACTATAATTAACCTTTGTATTAAAAAAAATTCAATAAAATTATATCAGTAGCCAAAGGACTTCAGATTGCAATCGCTAAAGAACACCGATTCCTCCCCAGGATGATTCGCGAGGCTATTGAAATTAAAAAACATCCTAATTTCAATAGAGAAGATGGCTGGGTGCTACCATCTGCGCATGAGATTTGTGAGAATATTTTTTAACTAATGTAATATGGCGGATGAAGCAGCTCGCGCCCGTAGGATTTACTTGAATCCTAACTCCCTAAACGTATTCCCTGAGTAGTTCTAAACGAACAGCACCACATACTGCTGGGCGAGTGTTAGATACCACCCACTTGGCAAAGAGATAACTACAAATACCCAAACTCATGTTCCGGTACGATGTTAGGTAAAACCGATTTTATTATATACTGACATTTATCTTCAATAAAAATCAAATTGAAGATACGATGTTACTGCTTGAGACCAAGATGTTATGCTTCATTACCAGTATAATGAGTCACTAGTTCTCAAAACGTGGTATGCGAACATCGACATCATGCTACTATTTCAGGTTGGTATTCCGTGTAAACATGAAATTTCCCTGGTCGAGCTGACCTATTTGCAACAGAATCATATGAGTCAGGCCATAATATGCTGCATTATATATGGGGTTAATTTCAAAAGATTAATGGGGACGTGAAAAAAAATCAAGACTGAATAGTTGTGTAGGTTAAATTAAACAATGAACGAGTAATGTAGGAAGTGTGTTTTATTTTTTGGCACCTTTGAATGCTAAATTTTAGTTTGACATTGCTTTTACTTATTAAAAGTGGAGGAAAGAAGTTAATGTAAGTACGAAAACACGATGTCAGTACAGTCTCATCATTATCATCATCATCATTACAGTCCTTCACAAGTCTCCTGCTGAACATAGGCCTCCCAAAAGGAATGCCACAAAGCACGGTCCTGAGCCACCTGCATCTGATGTTGATCTTAAGACCTATCCGTTGGGAGGCACTATTGAGGTCATTGAGCATAGTGCTTAGGTCCTCCAGCGATTCTGCCATAACGACTATATCGTCGGCAAATCGAAGATGAGTGATGTACTCGCCTTTGATGTTAATACCGTATTCCTTCCAGTCCAGAAGCTTGAAAACGTCTTTCAATGCAGCGGTGAAGAGTTTCGGGGATATAACGTCACCCTGTCTTATACCTCTCTGCAGTTTCGTACTCTGATTCTATACTCGGATAGCCATCGTAGCCCTACAACACTTGCTGTACACACACTTTAGCACTTCGATATACCGACAGTCAACTTAGCACCGCTGAAGGGATTGCAGCACCGCACAAGTTTCGAGAGAATCAAAGGCTTTCTCGAAGTCCACATAGTGGCAAATTGTGCTCTTCGGACTTCTGTACAATTTTCCGAAGGGTATGTACGTGGTCTTTTATCATAAATATGCTGCTGCCCATCTTCTGCCTCATTTTCCCTTTGTCGCCTTTTACGACACTCCTCTTACCTCCACGGGAAGATATGGGGTAGTGAGTATTCTTACCCGCCACTACACGAGCCTGCACGTGGCCAATTATATAATATTTAAATATAGGGACCTAACATATTATAGAGATGATATTCTTGTTAAAAATTCTTCTATACTTTCATTTCTTGATGAGATAAGATGCATCTGGCTCAGGAACGTGCTTTGTGGCATTCCCTAAGGAAATCATATCTTCAGCTGTGGACTTGTGATGGGCTGTAATTATGATGATGATAATAATGATGATTCTTGCTTACACTTATTTATTGCTCTATGTAAATTTTAGTGTATTATTGCCGAAGTTCCAATATTATTTTTACATAACGGTGTAATATATTTCAACTGAAAATCCAACCTAATGAAAATACCACTCGTGTGATATTTACAAATAAAGACATTGCTAATTCATATTTATTTTATTTTATTATATAAACCTAGTGTAAAGCATCTTTATATGTATGTATGAAGGCAGTTCAATAAAAGAATGGTTTTTAAATAAAACTAATTTAAAAACCATTCTTTTAAAAATAGTTTTAATGAGTAAAATTAGTTTTATTTAAAAATGTGTAGTGTTCGCGTAAATATAAGAAAAAAAAGAATGGTTCATTCTTTTTATTACTTTATTATGTTTAGAACTTAATTTAGCGATGAAAATTAATTCTGACAAAATACGGTGAATTAATTTTCGAATTATTTTTTTAAGTAAGTAAATAAATATAATTTGTGCATGATTAGATAAAGAAGCATTAATTATTTTATAACCGTACTAATTGAATAAAACTACTTATTACTACTACTACTACTATCATGTACTAAAGAAGTAAATTGTAACGTAAATTGATGTTCATTTTATGTTGGTGTTTATATATACTCTCTTCATGGCCATGTTTAACATCTTAGATTATTACTAAGGAATTAAAGTTATATTTTTTTATTAAAGGTCTGTCTGTCGCAACATGTTGAAAAAAGAATAAGCTGATGCCATTGTCTGCAAAAAAAAAACTTTTAATAAGGTTTTCTTCAGTATACATCGCCAACTTAAACATAAGACTTACGTTGGAAAATGTCTGAACAGATACTTCTTGGAAACCAGGGGCACTGAGTTGAAGTGGTCGTAATGATTTTTGCATTATTAAAACCATGTAGGGTCGTATAACTAGGCCAATATTCCAAAAAGGAATATCCAGACAAGCATCGCCAATTGATCTTACCTTAAAAAGAAAATTATTCGTTTAATCTTCCTCGTTTTTTTATTATTCTCATGAAAAGACATTAAATAATAAATAAACATAAATTTTAAATAAACTTGTTTTTACCTTTATGCTAAGAATAGTGCACAAGTAACTTGGAATAAATACTTCTATTATAGTTCCACCACAAAGTAACATTAATATTCCATTGACTTCTCCAACTTTTAGTTGCTGTTAAAAAAAACTATTTATTTAACACAACATTTATGTTAAACAACGGGCTATCTTTCGAATGAAATCACGTTTTTAAGTGTAGTTCTCAAGGCATTACAATCAGTTATGACTTTAAATTTTATTCCCAGAAGATACTTAGATTTAGAGATGATACGACAGCCAAAGTTTCCAGTTCAAAAGAGTGTGTTTTTCTTCAGCTGCAGTTTGCCTACTAAAATATGCAACGGCTGATGTGGACAACCTTCTTATTCTCTCTGTAATAAAATACCGCTAATTCCTAATTGGCTAGCATCAGTATGGAGCTCAGTAAAGTAGTTTGGGTTGGATATAATGAGAACTGGTCTGGATGTAAGAATTTGTTTTAATTTTGCAAATTAATAAATCTGTTCTTCACTCTATACCCATGTCTGTCCTGATTTGCTTAATAAAGTTAATGGTTTGGCAACAGTTGCAAAGTTTTTCACAAAGCGCCTAAAAAACTTGCCAAGCCGATAAATTGTCGAACTTCGTGGAAATTTTTAGGCTTCGGAAAATTAGCAATAGCTACAATTTTTTGCAAGCAGGCCGTACACCGTCTGATGAAATTTCAAAACCTAGACAGCCTATTTTACGACTAAAGAAATGACATTTTTTAGATTAAGTGTTAAATCGTCAGACTACTAAGGATAAGTCTGCAATGCCATTAATAGATGATCAAATTGACAATCTGTATGGCCAAGAATTTTTCAAGAACTTAGATGTGACTGAAAGATATCACCAAATTCCCATGGCAAAAGAGTCTAAACATCTTACGGCCTTTATTACTCCAGATGGTCATTTCGAATATAACAGACTACCTATCAAGCTAGATAGGTAGTCTATTATATAGATAGCTATCTATATCATCTCTAAATCTAAGTATCTTCTGGGAATAAAATTTAAAGTCATAACTGATTGTAATGCGTTGAGAACTACACTTAAAAATGTGATTTAATTCCAAGGATAGCCCGATGGTGGTTATAAGTACAATATTACGATTTTTCTGTTGAATATACAACTTTTTTTTTATAGAATAGGGGGCAAACGAGCATGCGGCTCACCTGATGGTAAGTGACTACCGCCGCCCATGAACAACCGCAACACCAGGGGAATTGCAGATGCGTTGCCGGCCTTTTAGAAAGGTGTAAGCTCTTTTCTTGAAGGTTCCTAAGTCGTATCGGTTCGGAAAATTCGCTGGTGGTAATTGATTCCACAAAAAAGTTGTGCGAGGGAGAAAACTTCTTCTAAATCGCACAGTGGTGGACCGCCAATCATCCAGATGGTATGGATGGTGACGCGAGTTTTGTCGCGATGTACGATAGTGAAATTGAGTGGATGGAATTAGTCCGAACAATTCCTCAGAGCACTCCCCGTGATGGATGCGATAAAATACGCAAAGAGATGCAACATCTCTACGCAGTGCCAGTGTATCGAGCCGATCGGAAAGAACTCGGTCGTCGACGATTCGAATCGCTCTGCGCTGGATGCGGTCAAGTGGAAGGAGCTGGCACTGGGGTGCCCCGGCCCAGAGATGAGAACAGTATTCCATGTGGGGCCGAACTTGCGGTTTGGAAAATTGCAAGCGATGTGCCGGCGTGAAATACTGTCCCGCTCTGCTGAGCACGCCAAGCTTTTTAGAGGCCAATTTGGCCTTCCCTTCCAAGTGACCACGAAACTGCACGCTATTCGATATGTTGACGCCAAGGATTCCGATACTGGCTGAGGCAGCAAGGGGAGTGCCATGAAACTGAGGAGATACGACAAAGGGGTTCTTTTTAGCGGTAAACGCGCAAACTTGTGTCTTGGACATGGACTAGATTTAGTCGGCCCCAATCCGAGACTTTGTTAAGCAAAGACTCGACTTCAGACACAAGTTTGTCCCGGTACTCGGAGACGTTTTCCCGAGAAATATTAGCACGGCCGGTATATAAGGCATCCCCAGTGCTGTCGTCTGCATAGCAATGAATGCTACCAGTTAGCAACATATCATTTATATGCAGGAGAAACAGCGTTGGTGATAGCACGCAGCCTTGTTGAACACCAGCGTTGATAGGCTTGAAATCAGAGCATGCACCGTCCACTACGACCTTGATGCTCCGATCAGCAAGGAAACTGGTGATCCATTTGCACAATTTCTCGGGAAGCCCATAGGAAGGAAGCTTCGAAAGAAACGCCTTGTGCCAGACCCGATCGAAGGCCTTCGTTATGTCCAAACTAACGGCCAATGCCTCCCCCTTGGACTCTACTGCCTCCGCCCATCTATGAGTTAAGTAAACTAGAAGATCACCTGCTGATCGACCCCGACGAAAACTGTACTGACGGTCACTGATCAGCTGGTGATCCTCAAGGTACCTCATGAGCTGGCAGTTTATAATGGACTCCATTATTTTGGAGAACAAGGAGGTGATGGCGATAGGCCTGTAGTTGGACGGGTCTGAGCGGTCACCTTTTTTAGGGATCGGGTGGACCAAAGCTGTCTTCCATGAATTCGGGACTACGCCTTGGGAGTAGGAGTACCGGAAAAGACGCGTTAAAACCGGTGCCAACTCCGGAGCTCACGTCTTCAGCACAATGGGAGGGACTCCATCGGGCCCACTCGACTTGCTGACGTCCAGGGAGAAGAGTGCTTTGCGAACCGAGCGCTGTGTAAATCGCACATCCGGCATGGAGCACTCACACCGCGGGATGGTCGGCGGTGTGTTCCCCCCGTCATCTAGAGTCGAGTTAGACGCAAAAAGAGAGCACAACAGATCGGCTTTCTCTTTTGCGGCATGGGCCAGTGAGTCGTCCTCTCTGTGGAGAGATGGAAGGGATGGCTGACAGAAGTTCCCTTGGACAGCCTTGGCGAGAGACCAGAATGCACGAGTTCCCGAAGGAAGGCGAACTAGCTTCTCGCCAATTCTGCCGATGTGCTCAGACCTTGCCTTGGCAATGACGCTTTTGAAGGACCTGGAAGCGGAATTATACTTCTTTTTAAGTGCGCAGGCCCGGTAGCACTCCTGCTTATAGCGTGATGCTATTTTACAGGAGCGACCAAACCATGGCTGGGATCTGCCTCCGATGGGCACCACAGAGGATGGAATAAAAAGTTCCATACCCTGAAGTACCACATCAGCAACAGAATCGGCAACAACGCTGGGATCTTCCGGCGAGAAGCAAACCCGCCCCCAAGGGTAGGATGCAAAAAAAGACCGCACCCCGTCCCAATCAGCTGATCTATAGTGCCAAACACGGCGGCAAGCTGCAGATCGCAACTGCGATTGGAGCGTGAGTGGCACAGTGCTCCGGATCAGACAATGGTCCGAAGAGCCCAGAGCATCGACGGAGACCTGATATCCGTCCGGATGAGAGGTCAGCAGAAGGTCCAACAGGGAAGGTACATGGTCTTCCACATCAGGGATCCGCGTAGGCGAAGTAACCAGTTGTGTTAGACCATATGCCAAAGCAAAGTCATAGACAGATCTACTCGCATGATCGGTTAAACGAGAACCAAGCCATTCAGCGTGGTGGGCGTTGAAATCACCGAGTATCACGATCTCTGCGGATGGGACCTGTTGTAGCAAGGAGTCTGCAGCCATTTGAACGTGGTCGATGAGTCGGTCTGTGTCAGCATTACCGCTATGGGACCTATAGAGGCACCCGTAGACGCGGGGATGGTCGTCGCTGTCTACGCGCAGCCATAGGATGGACAAGGCTGCCGAGGCGTCGAAAACAGATGTCCTCTCCGACGTATACACAAACTCCAGCCCGGGGCACAAAGTATCAGCCGGAGAGGACACCTGAGTCTCGGTTAAAAAGAGCAAGGCCGGCTTCGCCGTCTCTAGATGGTAATGGACAGCGTTAAGGTTGGAATGAAGTCCCCTGATGTTGCAAAAATTCACGGATAGCGTGACAGGGGTCGCCTTGGTTGTATTGCTCCGCTTGCCCCGAGCAGCATTAGTCGCGAGCGGAATTTTGCCCCCCGCAGAATACGCGGGGCAGCCTGAGCACCCACGCTCAGGAGTGAAGTAGTTTGGTCGTGGATGCTCAGCGAGGGATTCTCCAGGGGTGCTGGTACCCTCCTGGGGTAGTCTCTTATTTAATTCCACTACCATGTTAATGGGGGGGGGGGGGGGGGGGGGGAATTGGGCCTCCGGCCACCTGCACTCACCAAGCGCAACGCAGAGGTAAACCTCTACTTCACGCTGGTATTCTGTGAGGTCGTGGTACCACCCCGGTTCGAGCTGGCCCATCCGGAGCTGGCCCATCAACTGGAGCACAAATTAAACATGCAGACGGTCTAAGTCGCATTTCGATCGCAAATGATGAGAACATTGATCTAAACGTCTTAAAAGTGACACATGAGCAAGACCCTTCGCTACTAGCGGTTCAACTTAGTGACCCTAAATTAATTCACATAAAGTTTTTTATTTTTTATTTTTATTTTTAATTAAGACATAAGAAATAATTATGAATAAAAAGATGGCAAATATATAGGAAATTAGGTGCAGAATTGAAATGGGCAGTACCACGCGACGCAATATGGAAACTGTTTTATTTATGTCATGATGACAGTGAACATTTTTCGCTGGAGAAAACTTTAGAGAAAATGAGGCGAGATTACTGGTTTCCTCGAATGATACAATTTGTTCGGAAATATGTTCGTGTGTGTTTTCCATGTGATCATTCGTAACAACCGAGCGGCAAGAAACAAGGATTCCTTCATTCAATTAGAAAACCTGACGTGCCATTTGAGTGTGTCCATATAAACCACTTGGGACCATTCGTGCGGAGCAAGAATGGCTATACGTACATATTAGGAATCATAGATGCTTTTATGAAGTTTATTGTATTAAGGACAGTACAAAATACAAAAAGTAAAACAACGGTCCAGGTTATGCGAGATTTCATTAGACTTTTTTGTTCACTTTTTTGCTGACAAGCTGTAGTAAAGTAGCCTACGCTGGTACGGCCACGTCTTACGACGACCGGCAAGCTACGTGGGAAACAAATGCCTGGACATGACCCTATCTGGTACCAGGAGTATAGGACGGCCCAAGAAATGCTGGCTTGATGTCGTGCAGGATGACATGCGCGCCAATGGGCTAGTTGTGAGGGTCGCCGAAGACCGGGCAAAGTAGAGGAGGAAGTGTAGGAAAGCGGACCCTGGGTTCTCCCGCGCTGGGCGGGATGAGCAACCTGGATAAACGCTAGGTAGAAGAAGAATAAGAAGTTCACCAAAAGTTGTCATCTCAGATCAGGGAACGAGTTTTACGTCAAATGAATTTAAAAAATTCTTAGAGTCCTATCAAATAAAACATATTAAAAACGCCGTAGCAACACCAAGCGCTAATGGCCAGATTGAGAGATATAATCGTTCAGTATTAAATTCTCTTACAGCTTTAACTGTTGATAAAGAAGACCAAAACTGGGACGCAGAGCTGAATAAAGTCCAATGGAGCCTAAATAATACTCTAAATAAAAGCATCGGCAAGTCACCTGCACAAGTACTCTTTGGTACAAATACAACAAATTTGCCTGAAATTTATCTCCACGGATTTTTAAAAGATCGATTAACATACAAAGAAGAAGTAGGAAAACTAGGTTTGACAAAAAAAAGATGCACTTATCATGAATACAAGATAGGAGTACAATTACAAGTACAAACTGTATGCGTACAATTTACCCGTAAGCAACTGGTGTGTGCTAATTTATTTATTTACAGCATGTGCCCTGCGTGTACATGGTTTATCTGGAAGAGTCCTGCGTAAGTGCTGTTAACAGAAGGCGCCCCGTGAGTGCATGCTCAGTGTGCGCATGCCCTGTGTGTGTATGCTCTGTATGCGCGTGCCCTGTGTGTTCATGCTTCATGTCAATGATGCAATTCCAAAAAATTGCAGTTCTGCAGTACTGGCCATTTCAATTGAAAATAATTTTTGTTTCACAAAGAATTCTAATTTTAAATTAATTTTATTTAAAAAACACGGAATTCTTTTTGGGATGTAGGTAATTTGGAAGTAAAGACTCGAAATGAATTGGGGGTTGACTCGAACTTTAGACCTGGTCAGATTGAATACATAGGGTCATGGTTGAATAGGGGCAAATTGTTCTCATTACACTCCTAGGGGATAAAAATGACCAAAAAGCAATAAGGGAGGAGGGGGTGGCTCGAACTTTAGGCGTAGTCAGTTTGAATCGTCTATCATGTGGAGGATGTTATGGGGGTCATGGTTGAATAGGGGCAAAAATTTCTCATTACACTCCTGGGGGGTCAAAATGGTCAAAAACAAAAAAATTTAAAATTCTTATTTCGGCTATAACCCCGCATCCTTCGGAGTTTCTTACACAGTCTTTACTTTCCGCATCCCAATTGATCAAAATTAGTAATTTGCTTATTGATCAACGTAATGTTTTCATTGCATTTGAATTTTTTTTCGTCAACATGAGTAGGGCAAAATTCGAGTAATTATGGAACATGAGTACCGTCGTGGCAGCAACGCGGCACAAGTGGCACGCAACATCAACGACGTTTACGGAACGAATACTACAAACAAACGAATTAAAGCGATTGTGGAAGTAGATGATACTCAATCTACGGCTGAATTAGCAGCAGTTTTCGACGCAAGGTAAAAAACTTGACAATTATGTGCCTCACGAACTAAATGATCGCCAGCGTGAAGTATGCATCAGATAAGACTTTCACTGCTTAACAGGCACACAAACGAGTGTATTTTGAACCGCATTGTTACCTGCAACAAAAAAGGATTCTGTTTGACATTTGCCAGCGCTCAGTAAGATGGTTGGATCCTGGTTCAGCACCTAATCAATGCCCTAAACGAAAACTTACTCCTATAAAAGTGATGGTCACTGTTTGGTGATCTAGCGCCAGTGTGATTCATCACAGCTTCTTACGAAACGAGATGAACATTACTGCAATTTTTTACTGTGAAGAGCTGAATACAATGATGGAGAAGCTCGCACGTCTCCAACCAGCTTTGGTCAATCGCTCATCCCCGCTGCTCCTGCACGACAACGCGCGATCTAATACTGCAAATCAGACGGTCTAGAAGTTATAAGAGCTGGGGTTCGAAGCTCATCCGCCGTACTCACCATTCCTTGCGCCTACAGACTTCTACTTTTTTCAGAATTTGGATAACTTTTTGGAGGAAAAAAAATTCAATACCTGCAAGGCAGTACAAAATGCCTTTGAAGAATATGTTCACTTTTAATTTGGAGGTAGCCGTGGTTAACTATGATATTGGGACGTCAAACACCTCAGTCCCCCCGTAATCATGGGTGTTATAAAGTACTTGAAACGTCGGGAATATAAAATAACTTAATATTCGCGATAAAATGCGTGAAGCTAGTTTTATTTAAATATCTTATACTGATTTTACATCCTTTCATTCATAAAAATTGTATTTTAATAAAGAATAAAAGTTACCTCAGCGGCGCAGTAGGCGGTGAAACAGACCACAGGACCGGAAGCTTTTTGTTCAAACATAAGTAATTTTTTATAAACTGTGGTATAGTTTTTCAGAAGTCTAAAAATAATAATATAAAACACTGATTGCAAGTTATCCAATTATAATACGACATACTTTGGAAACTACTATCAACAAATATCTTCAAAAATATTAGTTCATTAAAAGGCACTGTTGTACCCTCGCTTTGTGGTGAACTGTACCGTTTTTTTATAGAATAAGGTTGGCAAACGAGTACACAGTCCACCTATCTATCAGTACGTCTATCTTCGAATACGAATGATAATGCAGATGCGTTGTCACATGAGGACTAATATGGAATGCCTCCTTTCCAGTACAGTCAATAAATCAATATATATCTTTGTATCTTTTAACTATATAGGTGACATCCCAACGTTATGTGCAATAATTCCTACAGCAGAATTACATATTCATTTAAAGTAGGATATTAATTATCTCATGTAACTTACTTGTACATTGAATGATGCTCACGTACTATTTCTCTCATCCTTGATTTTATTACTGATATGAATCTATCAGCCTCTTCTTGATTATTCGGTAAGTCAAGCCCCTCCATCAGATCTTGGATATACCAAATTATTAGATCTGCCTTTGCCATTATTTCACCAATCCACAATACTTGCGTTTGAAGCATAACTGAAAATAATAAATACATTTTAAAATATTAATTTGATATACCGACAAATAAGTTTCGCTATTTTCTCAATTCAATTCACTTTTACCTAATATTACTGTAAATTAAACATAGTAAAGATATTTTAGCTTCTTCACTTACATATATAACTATAAGCATAAGCTAATGCACAAAAGTTGGAATAAATAAATGATATTTCATAGAGTGGTGATGCACTAAAATCCGTTTCAAAATACCATAATGGAAAAAAAAAGCGGTCTTTTTGAACCATCTCCTGGTTCGTGAGTTACTACGTGCCACAATAAGCAAAGACTTGTAAATAACGCCACACCTCCACCAATAAAGCTTGTAAAAATTACGGAAAAAATGGAAAATTTCCATGTATTTAGTTGATTTTCAAAAAACCTGTCCCTGTAAAATCAAAAGAATTAAAATGTGTATAAAAAAGTAGTTTACGTAACTTAACTGGTTGCGTATACGAGTTTAAACTAACCTGTATTTTGCCCCTTCTGAGCAAACATATTTAAAATCATCTCTCAAAGTTCGTAAGAAATCGTGGTATTGCGGTAAGTTTATTATTGTGCATAAAAGCATCAACATTTCATAAAATTGTATAATAAAGTAACAACCTCCTTCAGTTATAATTTGTAAATCATTCGTATCGATGCCATGGTAAACAGCTAAGCTCATTAAGCCTAGGGCGATAATAGCACATATAGCCATAAATGTTAGGAAAAAATATCTGAAAATATTAAAATGATATCAATAAAAAGTATAATTTTAAAGTGAAATGGCATTTGCATACACTTCGATATTTATTCCTTGAACGTATCAGAGGTACATTTTATCATAGCATCATAACGTCACAAAATACTTGCGACAATCTTCGGGTATAATCATTTTTCCTCGACAACCAATCATATCACCAAATCATACGGTGGTAAGGTTTAGTTTCCTTTTTAATAAGATGGCTTTCGAAGCATTGAGGTGAAGCTTTTACGTTATCTCTTTAAAAAAAGTCATCAACTTTAATAAAGAAACTTACGTCCATTTTGGAATAGGTTCATTATCTAACACTTGAAAATATTTTAATATATAATAAGAAGTAAAATGATATTTATACGGATCCACAAATCCATTTGAACTGTCGAAGTTTTCTTTGTTAAGAAAAGCCTTAAACTTTTTCAGCATATTTTTAAAGATACCTTACGAATTTTAAAGATACAATATTATGTGTATGTTCCAAGTGCTTACTGGATTAATAATGAGTAATTTAGAAAGAATCTTGAGGAATATGTAGCAAATTATACACAATTACGTATGGACTTAGTTTCTATTGCTATATGAGTTTGCATAAAGAACGGTAAAGAATACGGACCGTGAAACTCAAATACTTGAATTCACATTCGAATGACGGCTCCGTGGCGCAGTGGCTTAGCAATGAGTTGATGCACTGGGGGGCGCGGGTTAGAATCCCGCACGGGTACAAGTATTTGTATGGCCTACAAATGATTGTTCCGGGTCTGGATGTTTGTCCTTGTGAAATTTGTGTTTGTAAGCTGCCTCCACGATACAGGAGAAAATCCTAGTGTGGGGGTAACGTTTTTTTTTTTTTTAAATAAAAAATACTGTCCGAGAATTACTTAGCACAAGCATCGCAAAATAAACAGGAGAGATTTAAAGGAGTATAAGTAGTGTTACAGCATCGCTAGCTTATTTAATTTTTTTAATATATATACATATTTGTATTATGAATAGTTTACAACAAAAATAATGGGTTTGGGTTACATTCAGTCTTTTTCATAAAACTTAAGAGACGGACTAATTTACAATACACCTGATGTTAAATATCTACTTCAGTGCATATGTAATGAACCTGTACATATTAGGTAAAGGAGTGGTCCCTACCCAGAACAACTCCTACATATAAAAGGACCTAGAATACATATCTGCCCTCACTATCATCTTCTTCCCATTTGGTAGCTAATTATAAATTCTTTCTTTTTTTAACTATCACAATCTATGTTAATAAAAACCTAATAAAGTATACACAACGAATAAATTTATCGTGACATATTTAATGAGACCAAACAGGTTTCCTGACGTACGGACCGTAGAATAAGTATAAACGTAAAAAAATGTTGGCTTATTGCCGTGATTCACTTGTTAAAATAATTATAATCTTTTAGCTATCAGCAAAATTAAAAACCACAGTTAGTAACAATGTTGATCAAAATTAAATATGGATTAAATTTCACATACTTACATACATCAACATAAAAGTTTAAATAAAATTTATTTTAATATGTATTAAAGCAGTCGTACTATTGTAACATAATAGTTCACTAAAATGTCTTGCCTTTCATTAAATTTTACAAAGAAAATAAAATAATTTTAAGATCCAAATTATAGCACATGCTAGCTAACGGTTAGCCTCGGGCTATATTGTAAAATATGTTAAACTATTATATAGACCAGTTAATTCATGAATATAATATATCCTAATAATCCATTTTGTTACGTTTTTCTTTTTAATTTAATATCGCGGTAGCTAGACCATGATGACTTAAATTTTCTGCTTATTGTATAGTACATAATGTCGTTTTGTTTCATATCATGATCATTTGTTTTTTATCCACAAATATTTTTAAGGTGGAAAAATAATAAAAGTCATGCCTTGTAATACGGTATCTTTTTATGGACGCCATGTCAATACGTGAGTAATAAATAGTAAATAAATGTCAGAACAGAGATATAGTACGTGAGGGTAATATGGACATCCGGTAAATATAGTCACTTTCTTAAAACTCAAAAACTACAGCCTTGTTTGCATAGGTGGCTCTGTGATACTATAGCTCTTCTTCAGTCAATCAAATAATAAAGGGTCAAAAGGGCGCTGCTTTATCGACGCCATTTTGATAGTTGACAATATAGTAAACATTTTGGTCGATTTTAGTATTTTGTAGTTGTTCGCGCAAAACGTTGATGTCGGAGTCGACACCAGATGTCACTCGGCTCGGCGCGATTCCGGTTTGAACTTCGGCTGGGGCGTGGCACGAGCGCGCGAGTCGCGAGCGAAAAGTTAGTCGTCCTCAGGCAGTGCTAAAGATTGGCACGCTGCCAATTAAGCGCGGGAACTCGGAATAATTAAGCGCGGACAGTAAAAATACGGTCTAGGAATTTTGTGGCGCGTATCCCTACTGGAGAGCTTCCCTGGGACTTATTGGGTCCGACTCAGAATCTGAATAAGTGCATTCGACAATATTAGTTAGTGCGGCCTCTGATATTTTAGAATTAACTATTGCTTCGCGAAACGGTAGTGACCTTTGACCCTTTAAACTCCGTGTGCGTTTGTGCGGTAATCATTCTACCCAGCGATAGTTAGTGGCTTCTGTAAGTTAGTAAATCGTACGATAGAGTTAATTGACTGGCAACGTGACGAAAGAAGAAAGTGACTGTGGACTACCTCGAAAGGCGCCCTCAAGTTGGAGCGGTGTCGACGCTCGGGCTGCTGCCGACGGCCAAGGTCTAGGTTCAATCACCATCAGTCACACCCAGATACACACCACATCACCATTCCTTCCCTTGCACTACACAACCACATGCGACCTGACCTACTCCGGAGGGACCAGTCGCCTTGGATAGGTAAGTAAGCTTCATCCAAATTCCTTCCGGTCGACTGGCCGTAGTATAACGCTCCCCCATATATTTTAATGTAATTAGGAATTTCCACGTGGCTACATTGGAGCCCGACCTACGTCTGCTCGGGAGGCCTTCAGCTCATGGGCCCCTGACGGTCTGGTCCTTTAAGGGAGCAGCCGTAGGCCGTAACAAACTGGTAGCAGAGCGCGGTTCCGGGTTCGATTCCCCGGTCGATCCCGACCATAGTGTTTGATAAACATTAAACAATTCTGGTGGCAGGGAGCGTTGGTTTGATTGGTTTAATTCGTATCTACAATCACGGCCGTCCGTAATACGTAAAAATATTTTTTTTGTCCGTAATAATAGAATTATTCCCCTTTGTTCTTTGTTGCTTGCCTTTTTTTGGTTAGTGGGTAGATGTGAAAAGCCGCGCCCTAGGTTGCGCAAGCGGGAGTTTTCTAGAGACATACGTCATGTAGGTAGATGGTTATTTTTACGTAATCGGTTAATTATCGTTTTCGGATAGTTGTAGTGGATTACTTATCGAAGGGTCGATTTCCGAGCTAGGCATTTTTTGTTGATCGACCGTGATGTGTATCTTCGTTTATACTGTAAGTTGTATTTGAACTAAAGAGTAGTACTGGTATTTGCGCCATTTGAATTTAACTTGATTTGATCGCACTAGTATTTGTTATTTGTTAATTTGATTTGTGCCTTTTCTTTTGTGCTAACTTGTATTTGGTTGATACGTAGTAATTCGTATTTGTGTAATTCTATTCAACGCGATTTGATAGGAACTGCATTTATTAACTGTTAATTTTTGTTGTATTTTTTATTTGTTATCTTTGTAAACTGTGCTCAAGCCGCGTCGTAATTTGTATTTAATAGTGATAACATCGCCTAAGCTACTGATCCGTTGTCTGCGGACTGAGTTGCGCTGGGCCACAAGCGCCCATGCTTTGATAGGTCGACCGGATAGGGTCCATAACTTGATGAAGCGGTTCGAGCAGGTGGATGCTCGAAGGGCCGCAGTGGAGGAGGCTTACGCTGAGCTCGAGGATTCGGATGTGGAGAAGGGAGTCCTGGACTCCTGCTTCGCGGACTATGAGCAGTTCTTGTGGCTCACGGACGAGTTGATCGAGGCTGAAGGCAGGTATGCCGAGGAGGCGCGTGAAGCTCGGATGAGTGACCTGTCCGAGTCCTCTCTGAAGCAGCTTCAGCCGGAGCTGTTGGGACGACTCCCAACTCTGGACCTGCCAAAGTTCTCCGGGGTCCTTTCCGAATGGCTGACCTTCGTTGGTCTTTTCGACAGCCTAGTGGACGCCCGGAGTGACTTGACCCCGAGACAAAAGATGGCGTACCTCCTGGCCTCACTGGAGGGGGAGGCCCTGGGCGTCGTCGGCCACTTGAAATTGTCGGACGACGCCTACCAGACTGCTCGGGACCTCCTAGCCAGAAGATACGCCAAAATACGGCGAATTGCAGACGAGCATGTTAAGCAGCTTCTAAGCCTCCCGCTGCTTAGTGACCGGGCCAGACAGCGTCCGGACCTGTTGGATCCAGTCTTGGTGGCCTGTAATACGTTGAGGCGGCTGGGTTTACCAGTGGGCGAATGGGCCTTTTTGTTGCTCCGCATAGTGCTGTCCCGTCTACCTCTCGACCTTCGAATCCATTTTGAGGAGAGGTACGGCGGGGACGAGGCCTCCTATATTCCGCCCTTCTATGACCTGCTGCGGTTTTTGGAGGAGCAGTGCCGGCAGATAGAGAGCGCGGCGGGCACCGTTGACGACTTACGAGCCGTGCCCAGTGAGAGGCTGAATCCTCCAGGCAAGTCGTCGTCAACCCCCCCTTGCTCCTATTGTCGAGCATCTGATCATCGGGTAACGTCGTGCCCGAAATTATTAGGTAAGCCGGTTCCAGCGAGGCGAACTATCGCCAAGGAGTGCCGCTGGTGCTGCTCATGTTTGGGAGGACACCTCCAGCGAGACTGTCCGCATCGGCGGCCCTGTCTGCATTGCCAGGGCAATCATCATGCCGTTTTGTGCCTGAGTGCGAACGGCGTCTCCTCTCGGGGCTCTGCCAGGCCCTCGACCCCCACGGGCGGGGGCGCTCAGCCGCGCCCTCTGCCGGGCGACTCTCGGCGCCCGCCGGCCAGCCATCAGGCCCCTAAGTTTGAAAGGGGTCCCTCCCCCGACCAGTCGGGGGGTAATTCCCCCAGGGGCGGGGGTGTCATCATCCCCCCTAAGCGTGTGGAGAGGAACTTCACGGCCACTCATCGGTCCGCTGGACCCTTCTCACTCCCGTTAGCTGATTGGCCGCGACTGGTGTACCACTGTTCCCCGTTAGATGGAGGCGGCCCTGGCTAGCTGCCGCCTTAGCTCCCACCACGGCCACCTCCACTGAGCCTTAAGCCGTCAACAGTCCACTTATCAAAATGTTCTGTTGCCGACGGCCTCAGTGAAGGCGTACAACCCGAGTGGCGACTGTTAGCGATCTCGGGTTCACGCCATGTGGCCTCCCCTTGGTTGTGGGAAGATTAGGGCCCCTCT